CCCCCTCTTATAACTAATCCAGTCTCAACTCATCAAGGATTCCCCATTATCTAGTCGTTACTCCTCTTACAGATAAATCTCACTGTCAGCAATAGACTTTAGCCCTGATTACGTCTTACTTTCATTGGATAATCAAAATCTCTCATTCGTCTTCAGCCGTTCCCATTACATCCACACGTTCCCCAGAGCCTCAGCAGAGGATTTCCACTAAAGATGCAATGTTTTATTATTTAACACAGAGCTGCCAGTGTGAGTGATGCTGCGGCGCTTGCTTTTCGAACGGCCATAATGAAAGTTAAAGAGCCATAGAATGTCATTAGGCTTGTCTTTCTACGCATGCCAGTTGTTGATTAATTCATCTCACCACATTTGTCCCTCATTTTCTTGTTTATCGCTCCGGACGATTATTTGTGTTGGTTTATGCCTGCCCTCTCCCTTCTCTCATCACTCCTTTAGTCCACACTTCCCATCAACTCTTTCCCTTAAGCTGTGCATCAACTAACTATATATATTGAGTCATAATATATTTCCTTTCTTTACCTTCGCAAAGAAATAGTTTGTCTTTTTATACAATACGTTTTTGTTAATGATACCCACAATTTTCTCATTCCTAGGTTTGGTCTCTTTCTCCTACCTGTTTCCATCTACTGGTTTCCTCGGGTCACTCCACTTCTCTTTCTTTCCTCCCCGACTCTTGTCTTCCGCTGCCCCAAATGTTGCGAGTGGCTGAGATTTCCCTCCTCCTTCGGCTATCAGTGATTTAAATCCCGGCGTTTCTTCGATCTGAAAGACGAACCTCAGTTGCCTCAATCATTTGGTCCTGGTGTGTGTGTGTGCGTGTGTGTGTGTGTGTGTGTGTGTGTGTGTGTGTGTGTGTGGGTGGGGGGGCGTGTGTGTGTGTGTGTGTGGGCGCTAGTGCTGGTTGTTTTGTTGTTTGTGCATCTGTCTCTCTGCACAACTGTATTCATCCCCCCACATGAGCCTCTGTGCACCCCTCTCTCTCTCTCTCTCTCTCTCTCTCTCTCTCTCTCTCTCCATTTATGCCACTCACCCTCTCATATGTGCTGCATCTCTCTCCTCTTTTTTCACTGACCCCCACCTCCACACACACCCGTACTGTACGCACACACATTACCATCCAGAGTGATCAGCCATATCACTTATTTTTCTCTCCTTCATTTCTCCTCCTCCCACACGTCTTTTTTTTATTCTTTTGGGCCCTTAATCTCTATCTACCTCCCTCCCCTCCAATTTACACTGACACCGCACCTCCTTCTGGGCTTCAAAGATCTCCTCTGTCTCATTCCCTCGTGCCCTCTCCCTCCTCACCTTCAACTCCGTTCCCTTGCATCAGTGTCATCACCGAGTTAGTTTCCTCTCAGCTCCGTCTCCAAAATACCCATGTGGCTCCTGTGTGATATGAAGAGACGATTAAAGACTTTTCCCTATTTGCCTCTCATTAAACCTTATTGGAAATGGTATCCATGTCTTGTCTCACTCCTTAAACCCTCTTTACGATATCTGCTGCTGTGCACATCTTTTGATGTTTCTGAAAGTAACAACAGGAGCAGAATGCCTTTGTGAATTTTGTGATTAGGGTGGTGATGGTGATGACTTATCCACACACACAGCAGTCGTCCACACGTACACCAAAACGCTTTTTTGTGCTAAACGGTCAATCTCTTTGATTGATCTGTATATGCCGTTCGTTCTCCAAGTTTCAACACTGATTATAACGCCTGACCTCGGAGGGCCCATAGGAGTTCCAGCATGTGTGAGAAAGCCTTGAGGGTATTCAGCCTAATAGGATTTCAGCCCACACCATCGACCCGCTGCAGCCTATTGCTTTCCCAGCCTGCGTTCCTCAGCACCGAGTGCTCATGTTAACTGGTTGCTAACAAGCTGATATGTTCCAGGTTATTTGAGTGCATCAGCGTCTCACTACGGAAATCTCTGTTAATCTTAATGTCATGCTCTGGTGGCTGAAATCTTTTTTCTTTTTTTTTTTACATTTAATGATAATGGTGAGGAGTGCTGTGGAATGAACATGGCATAATCTGATTTACACACTGTGTGAGTACACACACACAGTCACAGTCCCTGACAGTGACGGAGACAAATGGAGACATTTGAGAAGCACCTGGGGGGGAGGATGTCAGATCTGTGTGTTAGGGGGCTAACGAATAATTATGGTCGGACCAGCGATGTCGCAGTGGCGGAACAACTCAGTGTTAGTCAGCATCCAGCTGACGGCCTCTGCCTACCTGCCTGCATTTTAACATCTGTCTGTGATATGTTTTTTTTTACTTCTCTCGCCGCTTAAATGCCTGTGAAATCCTACGTATCCGTCCACATTTCTCTAAATTCCTTTATTGGCTAGCTCACTTTGCACGCTCTGACTATTCACCTGCCAGCTTCCTGTTCCTTTACGGCTGCTCTAATTGGTTAATTCAACTTTAATGTCTTGTAAAAATCCCAGACATATATAATACTAGACGTTTGGCAGCCGCTGCAGTTAAATCCAAATGCTCCGGCTTTAGAAAACGTGCCAAAAGCTAACTAGGCCCGGTCGGTTGATCAAAATGCAATTGATTAAAACGTTGTGTTCTTATGAAAGACCCAATCCACAGCATTAGAATCATCATTTGAATAGGACGTGCATTTCTGCGTCTAATGCTGGGCTTGCATTAGGCGTGTGTTTGTGTATAGAGCTACACCGCGAGCCTTCCAGTCTCTGCCTCACTCATTAAGGTCCACATATCAATAACTGGTCCCCTTTGATCACCCCCTTACTTAATTTTTCATTTGAAATGCAATCAGTTATCCAGGGCTAACGGCTCCCCGCTGAATGCATACGTGTACAGCAATTGGACTTCCCAGTTATGTGTCACTCGTCTCCACTATTGCTCCTCTGATCTCACCTTTATAGCCTCCAGTTTGCTCTCCCATCCATCCATTCATCGATTCATCCATCCATCCATCCATCCATTCATCGATTCATCCATCCATCCATTCATACATGCACACATCATCCTCCCCTCACATCTTCTGTCCAGTCAAGAACACTTAGTGCTGCACTTTGGTTTCTTTCCCATCAATCCCCTGTTGCGTAACCGTCTTTCTCTGAATCTCTTTGGCTCGCTGTCTTCGACTCCATTTCTATTTCTCTGTCCGTGCCTCTCGCTGCCGCTCTATTGTGAGGGAGGGGAAAAAAAGCATTTTGACGACACCATGTTTCAAGCAATGAAAGCCCATGCTTTGGCTTGTAGATTTGCTGTCATGTGACAAATGGAAATGTCACAGGACTGCTCATGAGACAGACGGTGATAAATCTCACCTAAATGACTTGTGACGGCTGCCATGTCCAGGAGGAACACGTATAATTTAACGTGACGTAGTCTCCAGGCCGCCCGTGCGCTCTGAGCCAGCTGGCATGTCTCCCCATGACTGTTGGGTTTTCTGTTGTCTTTCTTCAGAAAAGAAATGGACATGAAGTTGTACTTTAACATTCCTCTCTCAACTCTTTGTTTCCCAGAAGGTCTACTTACTCAGGCTCTATGCCCTAGGCTTTATCTGAGGCAGAGCTTAAGGCACTTCTTCTTTTCCCTTTTGTCTTTTTACTCTTGTCGTTCCACTCGTTGATCCCAAATTATCAACTGGTTTCAGTCCTGTCTCCTTTCTATCTAAGTTCCTGTCTGGCAGTCTTGTTATCATCCCCCTACATTTCCGCATAATTCCACTTTTCATCTCTTTGCAGTCAAAGTTTGGCGAAGTGTTTTTATGTGTGACATTAGCTGCCTGGTCCCCCAAGAACGGTATATTCACAAAAGTATAATTAAAATGCTTTGAAGGCAATGCTCATAGAGCATGGCACAGCATTCTGTTTGGGACTGGGAGCAGAAACCCACCTGCAGGACTACAAACCACAAATGCATTTGGTGCATCAGTGAAATAGCTTATTAAAAGTAAACACCCTCGGACGATTAGAAACAACCAACCCGTTCTCATTCCCAACCCGTCGCATACATCCGCTTGGTCGGGGTCACTTTTTAGCACACTGGGAAGCCTGCCCCTTGACTTTACTTAGGTTTCTGCAACAAAACTACTTGGTTTGGTTGAGTGAAAGATTCTGGTTTAGGTTAAGTTAAAATAAGTACTCTGTTTTGCAACTTCAGTTATGTAGTCTGCGAAGCAATGGGGGTTTTGAATGTGGTTTTGTTAAGATGCCTGAAATAGGGTCTGTGGTTAACACAAGTTTAAGAGATTTTAACGTATCGTTTTCGGTCTAAAATACATGAGTAAATAACCCCCACATGAATTTTTAAGCTTTAACGTGTCTTGAAAAAGGTGACAAGTGGCTAAATGAGACTGCTATACTTCATCACGTTGACTAGTCTGGCTTTACAGCCTCGTTTTGTTTATACTCTTGCTTATGCGGCGGTGTTCGTTCATAGCCTAGCTTTAAGCGTTAGCGTTTTACTTTTGCCGATTGCATTCACGCTTCGAAAATCATAAAAGTGGTGTCAATTGTGAAGATTATCTTGCTTGACAAAACGTGTCATAAATCCAATTGGCTTCTTTGTCGAGAGAACCAGTGCGACTTTAAATTATTGGGTTGGCCTACAAAAGTACGTCATCCCTGCAGCACTCTTTTCAGGAAAGTATTACTGGCCCCTGGCTGTTTGAATTGTTTAGTCTGGCATTTAAACTAGCCATTATATAAGCAGTCTGCAAATTTGCGCATCAGTTAATAAATAAATAAATAAAGATCACCTTCTTTACACTTCAGCAAAATGACAAATAATCCTTTGAGTTGATTATTGATAGGCCACCTGATGGTTTCTTTTCTTGTGCCTTGTATGAACAATTAATTATATACTGTATTATTAACAGCAGGATTTACACTGAAAAGTGACCTGTTAAGTAGAGCCGAAGTGGATGAATAAAAAAAAAAAAACGTTGCTAAAAAAGCAGCTGCTTCGACGCTCTCCCATGAGTACATTGGGATTTGTACCGAAGCCCAGTGGAGGTGAAAAATAGAATCATCCTTTGAGAAATAAGCTGCTTACTCCCTCGATGTTAACATCGTATTTTCTGTCTTCAGCCGGCCGCCACTTGTAATGGCTGGGAGTTTATTCAAGCTTTAAACCCTTGTAACCCCCAAATTGTAAAACATCATGGCATCATGAGTACTGTGTGCAACAACGCAACAACCACGGCTAATTTAATGGACTGGTTTTGTAGCCAGTGATGTGAGATGTTTACCTTCACAAAAGGTAAAATGACACCGTGACTCAAGGTGAAGTCAGGCACCCATACGTGCGTAAGTCAGTAAGACACTGACTCTTTGCCCCAAGATGCCGCTGGTAGGGCTGATAAAATTTGCATGATTTTAACAGACTTCTAATCTCAGATAATAACACTTAATTACCCACCTGCCTTCAATACTATCTTTATCAAACTAACGTCTGTCCCTTTATCCTCAGGGATAAACGCTGCACATTCTGTAATAGGCAAATTTTGTGTTGATACAAAAATAATATGGATTCTACACCTTAATACAGTGATTTTCAACCGCTGTGCCGTGAGAGATCGCAAGGTGTGCAAAATGTCCAATTTAATAACAAATACTTTGCCAGTGTTGAGCGTCTGAGCTGCAATATAGTGGCTGGCTAAGTAATACATGCTGTTCCATGCCAGTGGGTGACGGTAGGTAGCGCAGTAACGACCGTGTTCATTTAAGACAGTAGAATGAAATGACGCGCGGGAGAGGTTGCGGTGACGAGACGAACAGCGATGGAGAAATATTTGAAAAGTAAAAATGCAGACTCTGAACTGGGCCCTGGACAAAATAACCCAGA